ATTCAGTCATAATTAGTGACATTAGTAACAAGATTTTAAGTAACTGACCAATCCGTTAAATGCATGCAATACAGGCAGAATTTGTTCTGATAGAGGGGCAGATCGTTTATATTTGCGAATACAATATAAACTGAATATGTATCCTGCTGTTAGGCCAGGGAAGGTGAAAAAAATCCTTATTTAAACCGAAGTGGTTTAAATAAGGATTTAATAAGTGAAGATCAAAATAATATTTGAAACATATTTTCTGGTGAACTTTCTTTCCCTTCCTATATCATCTAAAGAGCTAGATGGAGAAAACAAATGAAATGAAAGATTTCTGTAGCATCGTAAAAGTAGCAATAACATCGATATTATGGAAATATAACAATATCATTATCTGTCATATATAGAGATAGAGAGAGAGATTTAAAGGAAAAAACACGCGCTTCACTAACCTTGGGAAATACTGCTCCACCATATGATTTATTAATTGTTTAATCTTTATGACCCAAATCTGCTTCGGTCATCGAGCTCATCCTGTAGCCTCTGAACCTTCTGTCAGATTGGCTCTAACTCTGCGTCCAGTGTTGACTCTTGAAGCTTACGGTGCTGCATTTGCACGCCCAAAGGGCGTTTTTCCTTTAGAATTTCCTTTGAAATATGGGTATTGGTGTGGGAATTATATTTATCTATTATTTACTTATTATTTTCAATCAATCTTCCCGTAAGCCCCCTAAGGCAAGATATTAAACTGGGACTTTGGATCAGCAGAATCGCTCCAGCATAACAGGTTGTGACTTAAACTGTAGCCGAGGGCAAAGGGATTATTTGTAATTACCCGAGTGCAGGATAGCAGCAATATCATCACTATACCCATATACAGTGTTTGACGAAGTAAGAGATAAAGCAGCGGCCCACTCGTCCATAAAATGGCATACACAATCTGGAAAAAGCAGATTTTCAATAATCCTCTTAACTTCTGTTTTTATTAAGGATAAAGGGTAATACCAGCCCATCCTCGTATTTTACAAGCCCTCCTCTAAGAGCAGATATAAAAGCTGAGTAAAAACATTTTAACTGTCCCACAGAAAGTTTTTAACATTAAAATGTGGATACCTTTAATTTCCAAATGTGCCTTAAGGCGGCATGCACGTCTGGAGGTGTCCTGCGCCCTCTGCTGGACATGAGAGAAACAATCACCTTTCTTGGTTGCTAAGGAGTCGCGTCCTCGGTCGCTATCATGGAGCAAGCGTACACAAACACGGCTGTGGACGTATCAACTTATTCGGATTTTTGTTCTCACTCTTTTACACAAGACAATGAGGCTGTTACCGGTCAGGGGAGGTCGCAACGATGTGGACATTTACGCTACACGTTTCACTTCGCCCTGAAAATGGTTGAGTGACTTAATCCGGCGTACTGCCGACGTTAGCTTAAAAAGGACAAGTTAGCAGCTGCTAGCCGATTGAACCTGTACGTCTGCTCGGTGTCAGCGAAGATCAGCAGCCTCAGAGGATGCAAGTTCTTCAAGATCACTTCTTCTACCATTCGTATCCTACATGCATGAAGTTATTTGTGTTATAGAAATGTGTGTCATGCACCCACGCTCGTTTTAAAACAAATGTAAAGTTCGGTAATGACCCAACTTGAAACTTAATTCGACCTGCTTGTATAATTCACGAGAACTTAATCATTGCTGATTATTACTTTTACGCGACACATATCCTCTGACCACCATCAACAACTGCTCTCCTCAGCTGATGACTACCAGATATTCGAGGTTGAGAGATCATGCAAGTCTCGAGAAGGAGAGACAGCTTTTGGTTGAAGAGCAGAAGATATGCAAAACCCGAGCACGCAAATTCTCCCTGGAAACCAACCGACGCAGGAAGTCAGTTGTCAAATTAATATATATTATTTTTATTGTTGGACTAACAGCAAAGTTTCATCTAAACAACACACTTCTGACTGATTTCTATAACCTATAATCTATTACTCTCCCAGAAACCCATTTAGAGAAATATGTGCAGCCCATTTAATTTCAGCAAAGTAGGCTGTGCTTTGCTGGTGTTCAGAATGGGCCTCTGGTTCTGTCCTTGACTTTGATACTTTATTGGATCAACTGTGCAGACAGGATTTCACAATGTAGACCTGGAAATAGATCTATGTTTCCAGAGAGGTGATTAAAGCTTGACTTCTTTGAATGCTTAAAGCTGCAAAGTTTATCCCGATGAGGTTCAGATCCCTTGCACCTTCTAAATATGTGTTTCCATAATTGGGACCTGATGCTGAGAGGTCCTGTTTTTAAACCTAGTGCACTAAAAGCATGTTATTGCAAGGCTGGCTGTAGGCAATGGTCAGGCTTATTGCGTAACATCAGAACAAGGCGTAACCCAAGAAGAAGAGGACCCCACAAATTAGATTTGTTCCTTTAATGGAGGGGCAAATTAAACTGTGGATAAGCTTACCCATAAATATTACATAGATTGCATGAAATACTATATCTTCACTTACAGTAATACATTTCAGTTTTATGTTTAGACAGCAGAATTGCGATCTTTAACATGATTTTTCACATAAAAAAGACAGCATAATTAGGCACAATGTTGCACATTTAAAGGACCGGTGTAACTCAGTTCATGTATAGTTTAATGACACATTTTCGAAAATGAATTTTCAGCTACTATAAGCCTTTGTAAATACAGTAGATAGAGGTACTTCTCATGGCTTTTTAATACACTACTGCTTCTGACATTTAAAAAAAAAAACAAAGTGGAATTTTATTTACACTATTACTGTTGTTACTGGCTTCACCGGTGAACCCAGGAGTGAATAGTGTCTTTAATTTATTAATGGCTCTGCTGAAAACATATCTCTAGGCAGGGACTCAGGTTTCTGTTTAGCCCAGACTAGATTTAATAAATTAAAATGTGCCCTAGGTTCATGCTCTTCCCTTTCTCATGGCTCAGGGCTTTGGATGAAAGACGGAAGCAGTGGGATGTGCAGGAGCAATGCCTAAGAGACCGTATCCTCCAGCAACGCAGACTGCAAGTACAGGACGCAACTGAGCGTTTCCAAAGAGCACATTTACCCCCTTCTGAGAAGCGCCGACAATGTTAGTAGATTATACAGTTAGCTCCATATATATTTGGACACTGACACAAGATTTGTTCTTTACCTGTTTACTGAAAAATATTCCAGTTATAGTTGTATAATGGACATGGATGTAATGCGTAGACTCTCAGCTTTCATTTGCGGGTATTCACATTCAAGTTGGATGAAGGGTTTGGGAGTTTCAGCTCCTTAACACGTACCACCCTCTATTTCACTCAACAGTCTTGACATATTTTGGTTTATTTGTATGTTTTCCTTTGTGTCTCATAGCTTTTAAAAGAAATGTTGCAAATATTGAAGATGCACTCCATCAAATTCAAGGCACCTTGAATTCGTACACTCGGCAGTCCTCTTTCTTGTCCAGCAATATAAACGTTAATGGGTAAAAAAAGAAGCAGATTTAAACTTCAACCATTCTCCTGTATTATCTTACTGCGTACCAAAAATAGCCAGTCACTGCTTATTTATATTCTCCTTTCTCTTTTAAAGAAGCTGCTCCCCATCTCCTAAGCCACCCACGGTTTCTAAATCGTCCCACCGCCAAGCGCTTTCTGCTGTGGAGGCCTACACAAAACTCCTCCTGGAACAGAGCAGGATAGAGAGCGAGCACGATCACAGTCCACAGGTATTTTGTTTTGTTTTTTTCATTTCAATGTGCAAGAAACAAAACTACTTTAGTGTGACAGCTCTTCTGCTTTTTTCAAGGCCACAGTTTCTTTCAGTTGGCGCTTAATTGTTGTGGAAGCTCTGAGGCTGTACTTACTGCTTGTACTGCTTTGACATTTTGGCTATATTATTATTAATTAAATAAAGACAGAGTGTAATATGTCATGTGTTGTAATGCCATATTTAAATAATTGTAGAACCTGGTAAGGACCAGATTTATGATGATTTTGTTTTTCATTTTTAATTTTTTTTTATAAATATAGTTTAATTAATTTGCATAATGACTGAAGCTGGCATGACTGAACGAATAATGGGCTGTTTATGATATTGGGGGAAATCTACCTCAGTCACCTGAGACTGAAGAAGTCACTTGGATGAGTGTTGAAACGTTTGTCCCACTGAAAACGTCCAGATGAACAGAATCAATTTTGGGGGGATTCCACTAGGTGGCAGCATTGTAACAAACCTTTTCCTGCAGTAACAGTCCCTGTGGATGCTGCAAACTGTAGCACCCTCTAGTGCAATGTGTGTATATTAATAGCTGTTTCAAAATGTATATTATTTATAACAGTCTTCATTTTAATTTTGTGAAAAAAAAAAAAAAGATCAGTGGCAAGGACGCAGGGGAGGTCCTTCTAAACACTGATAAGCAACAGGCATGCCTGTACAGTTGTAAAATATATTATTTTCCACTTATCAACTCCTCTCTGCTTCCATTTTCCAGGGTAGCCACCTGTCTGATTCTTGTCTTTCTGAGAGCCTTTCAAGTAAGGATAGTTTGGAAAATGAGGATTTCAACCACCTCACAAAACCTCTGCAGAGTTCCTATTCATCACTCTTGCTTGGCACAGAGAGGACTCATCAAGACCTAAGAAAGCAAAATGACTTGTGTCATCAAACATCAGACCTCTCAGCGATGATGCTTCTCGGTGATAACTTAGTCCAAGCAAATAAGCGGCATGAACCAAACCAGAAAAAACTAGATGAATCTGGATGGTGTAATAATAAGATAAATGTTTCTAAAGCCTCGTGGGAATTCACATCTGTTGAACAAAGACTTAAGACAGAGATCCAGCCTGCTCTGAACAACTGTAATTTATCAGCTCACAGTGAAAATGTTAGTGCTGACCTAGAGCCCTATGAGATGAAAACTCGACAGAACAGCCCCGGTGGCAACATCATTATTGCAAATATAGCTGCTCTTGGCAACGCAGCACTCGATTCTTCCTATCCTAAACAAGAGGGCCTCTTGGCTCCCAAACAGGAGAGGATCCAAGATGACAGACAATTAAAATATCCAACTACAGAAATTCCTTTGCTTGCCAAAAATAGCAACAGCAAAGACATTTTGTTTGGGGATCCCCCAAAGCCAAATATTTTCTTGTACAACAGTACAACAGACAATTTGTCAAGAGAAAGCGCTCTTCAGCAAACAGGAAAAGAAAACAGCGCTCTGTCATCTCACAAAGAATGCACTGCTTCTACAAACAATCTCAATAAGGTTACAAACTCAGACTCCAATACTAAGAAGCCAATAAATACAAAATCCATGGAGCATACCTGCTTGTCTAATATTCATTCAGATACATACAAGTGTCTTGAATGTCCTGAGAAGGAAGTCGAGAAAATACCTTTGTCAATAGAGACGTCTGATTCGCTATATAAGGTCAGATATAGTAAGGGAATTCTTAAAAAGCAGTCCAAATACATGGATTCCACTTGTGTGTACGGCTCAGGGAATTTGATTTTTGCAAAACAAGTAGCTTTAGCGATCAGGGATAGCGTTGAATTAGCACGGAGAAAAACAAGGGACCTGGAGGGCAATAACACTGTCAAAAAGAAGCTGCGTTGGTTCGATGAAGTGCATGTGGAAAAAGAGAAAGATAAACAGAACAAAATGAAAAGCAAATCCTTCAATCTCTGTCAACCAAAAAACAACTCGGACGACCACCAGCTAAGTCTTAGTGCGTTCTCAGGGACTTCCAAGACTGGACCCGGCATGACCCCTGCAGCCTCCACTGGTTATCAGTTTACAAAAGAAGCTTGGGCAGATGTTCAAGTCAACTTGCCCCAGCGACAAACCGATGAGGTCAAGGTACACCGCAACAGCATCAGAGCCAGTGCCCCCAAGGTCCCTCGGAAAGAGCACTTTGGCAGAGCGGGTCCTGTTTCCTCACGAACAAGAAAGGGCACGGTCATACGACCTCAGTCTGCCACCGAGGTTAGTCAGATTGCCAAAACCCAAGGGAAGGTCATGGTGCCACGTCCACCTCCTCGGATGGAATCTGCGGAGGAAAAGACGCCGTGCATCACCAAAATTCCATATGGCAGGGATCACGCGAGCGCCATCAACAAACAGGCCATGGCTGTTGAGCAGGTCCTGAACAAGAATAACTCAGAGGGCCAAA